AAAACTAAAAATAGAAATACCATATGACCCAGCTATCCTGCTACTGGGTATCTACACAAACAACGTGAAATCAACAATCCAAAGTAACATATACACCCCTATGTTCATTGCGTCACTATTCACAATAGCCAAGACATAGAAACAATGTAAGTGCCCATCGACTGATGATTGGATAAAGATGTGATATATATATACAATGGAACTGTACTCAGCCATAGAAAAAGACAAATTCATCCCATTTGCAACAACGTGGACGGACCTGGAGGATATTATGCTAAGCAAAATAAGCCAGACTGAGAAAGACAAACACCAGATGATTTCAGTCATATGTGGAATATAAGCAAATACATGGACAAAGAAAACAGTTCAGTAGTTACCAGGGAAAGGGGGGTGGGGCAGTAGGCGCAAGGGCTGAAAGGGAGCACTTGTGTGGTGAAAGACAAAAATAATGTACAACTGAAATTTCACAATGATGTAAACTATTATGAATCTCAATAAAAAACAATTAGGAAGGAAAAAGAAAAATGGGAAAAATATTTTAAAACATACTACATGAATCTGAGTTTGTTTTAATTATGGAAAACTCATTCTTGGGTAAACTAACTTTATTTGATATGCAAATACAAGCCTTAATAATCTGAGGAAAAATGAGTACAGGTCTTAGGGAAGAATTCAGGTCTTTGATGGATTATTCATGAAAAGGCAAAAAATTACGTTTGAAGATTAGTTTTTCCATGTGTAATAATTTCAGAACAGAAGTGCCACCACCTTCTCCTAAAATAAATTTATTTTCAGAAATTAAAAAAAAAGAATTCAAATATCAACTTCAATTACTTCTCAGTCTTAGTGCTTTCTCCCTCTGAGCCTCAGGGCCCCTTGAGCAAAGGTTATAACAGCTGCAGTAAGGAGCTCTTTTGTTGAGGATGTGAATCACAAGGAAACTTGAAACTGATTTTCCTTTCATTTTGGCTGAAATACTTGCCTTGCCTAAATATTTCCTAACATGAAGCTCTTAATTTGTTATTTACTTTGTTTAACATTTTTTTCTTTTCACATTATTGGCTTTTCACATATTTGGCTGTTTACTACTCTTTGTTGGCAAGAGCCAAATCTTTTTTTCTATATGGATTATTCTAGGGGAGAACACTGTCCAGAAGAGGTTACTTTACTTGAATTTGTTCCACATATTCTAATAAACTAATCTATAGTGACCTTACATCATCTTTCATTTAAAACAGCATGATGTAAAAACCATAGGCTGAGTCCATGCAAATAAATGGAAGAATTATTTTCCTTATGGAGTGGCCCAAGAGATTTCCAGGATGGAGTCTATCTTCAACTCATGTCTGGTCCTCTAGATGTTTTCATGTTATATTTTCCTGTTCATAGATATCCTTCATTGCTTGTAGAAATTTATTAAATTTCTCAATTTTCTTGGAGGAAGTTGGATAGATGTAGAGACATGCTTTTAATTAGGGAGGAAGCAGCCTTAGGGATGAGCTATTTGAATGATTGAAAGTCTAAAGAGTTCTGCTATTACCAGGAGGAATGCTCTCATTGGTTATTCTAGGAAGTTAAATCCCAGTATTTGTCTTGTTAGGCACCTGGATATATTAATGGTTAGAGACATGAATGTCATCCTAAATCCTCAAAGTAAAGTACTTTTTCGTTGCCTCACTGTAATTGACTGAGGAGAAACATTCAAATAACCAATGTCAGTGTTTAAAAATTTGGGGGCAGTTTGTTTTGGCAAGGAAGGGGCTTGGCCAAGTTAATCTCCACTAATTAGATCACTTTTTACATAGTCTGAGAACAGAGCAGCTTTGTTTCTCTTTGAAGAAATTTTCCCAGCAGGTGAGAATGTTCAATTATCTTTGCACAGTAAATATTTATGTTGTATTTAAAACTGTCTTTATATTCTAGGCATCCACACCCAATACTTCCACGTTTATCTAAAAGATTGAGGTAATGGGGAACCTGAGTGGAAGGATGGAAAGTGCGGCCACCTGAAGTTATTTCTAGATCCACTGATCAGTCATACGTGACTGTGTGTTCTGTGTTCACACATAGGTATACGAGGGTATATGTTACCCTCAGTGAAGGAAGCACTGATTTTAGAGATCAAGGAAAAAACCAAGAGGTGAGTTCTTGAAGCAATCAACAGGGGATACTCATTGAAAAGTCATATGTTTAAAGATAGCTAATTCTTAAATATCATATATTTTCATTGGACGAAGTCTGAACTGAGTAAAGTAAGCTAGGAACACAAAGAAATAAACCAGAATATGCAAAATGTACTTGCTTTTAGTATTACAGCCTGACAGATGTTTGTTGTCCGTTTCGCCAAATAACAAAGAGAAACGTGTAATGCATTACAAGTACACTCATGAGTTAATAATCTTGGTTCACGGGCTATTATATTTTATGTGATATGTTAATATTTATAATTACTTTTAGATGTTTAGAGAATTTAAAATCATATGTCATACCAAACGCGTTAGAATATAAAGCAACAAAAGACTATTTTGCTCTGGGAGCTTGATGAGGGCTTTTATGTGTGAATCTTTTAGAACTATCACAGCAACCACGTTTGTACACATTCATAAAGAAACACATACTCAGGGAAGTGTCTTGCTTGCTGTCACTTAAAGGCATAAAATTGTAAAATTGTAAAGGACTGTAGTATTTTTCTACCTATAGTATTTTAATGTCTTTTTAAAAAACCTTATTCTTAAGAAACTATGTTAAATGATATTTACAAAATAAAGAAGTGCTAACTTACTGGTTTAACTTGAAAACCTAGTAATACTATCTTTTGGTTTTTATAGTATCAAATCTTTGATGACTTAAACTACGGAGAATAGTTTATATACCTAATTTTCACAGGTAAATAATTCAACTGGTAATAGAAGATTCATCCTGGTGAAATCCAATATTGATGATTAATGAGAGTAAGAGCACTCGATTCCGCAGAAAGTAAGGAGTGAAAAAAGTTAATTGGATATAGATGACCTTCTACTCTTATGTTCTTCAACAAGTGAGCCTTTGTCAACCTGCCACTTCCACAATGACAGAACTTCTGAATCAAGTGAGAGCAGTGATGTGAGTGAGTGTGTGGAATGTTCACCACAGTGGGCTTCTAAAGAGGAGGGCAGTGACGTGAATGTGTGTGTGGAATGTTCCCCACAGCGGATTTTTAACGAAAGCTCAGACTTTCCTGCATATATCCTCCCCACCTGCCAAATCCGTGTGAATGTAATTAACTTGTCTATATTTGAGGTTTAGTAATTGTGTAAAGTTTTTTGAGCAGTGAATAATCTGCAAATTCGGGTTTGTGTCTGTAGTTATACAGTTCTTCTCTCTGGTTTAATTCTATCCTAACCATCAGATGTAGGGTCTCTGAGAAATCTATGCTTCTTTTCCTTTTGAATTTTCTTTTCTATTTTTACTAGGAAGTGCTCCGTGTTTATTTGCTATGGCTTCCCAAGGAGCCTCCTGGGTAACCCCTGGAAGCCTCAGGGAATTGGGCTTCCAAGTCTTGTTCACTAAAGGAAATGTTTTTGAAGATGTTTTTAAAGAATATGACCTCACTTCATTATCACATTAATATTCTTATTGGGTGAATATTCATTTCCTAAATATAATTTCTTCTTCCTGATTTGAACATTCTTTTCTTTCATTTTTTACTTTTTTTCTAGTATTATGCTTGCTTCCAGCTAAAATACATTCCATCGTAGGTAAATATTACTATTCACATATAATAAAATAGATAATTCCTAAAATATACCTTCTTATCTTATACCCAAATTGGGATTCATGAATTCTAGCTATAATATTCTTTTTATCCTGGACTATGTCTATAATTCTTATCAATATGACAAAGATCCAGATGGCTTGTTCTGATGCAGTGTTCATAGTGAAGCACTGAAGAACATTAATAATAGCTGTCATTTATTGAGCCTTTATCAGGTGCCAGGCACTTACCAGGTTTTAGGGACTTTATGTGTAATAAAACAACCACCCCAAGAGGTAGGCACGATTGATATCCCCATTTCAAAAATGATGAAACTGAAGCACAGAGAGGTTTATTAAGTTGCCCAGTGTCACCTAGATAGTAGGTGGCAAAGCTGAGATTCCAACACAGTGCAGCTCCAGAGTCCACATTACTCATCACTGTGCTGTGTTCTCTCTCCAAGGATCTTCTGTCTTTTAAATAGGTACACACTGAATGAGAAACTTGTAGTCACTATTTGGTCTCTGTGATTATCAGATCCCATTACCATTGGCTAGCTTTTTTCAAGCAATAGTGATAAGCTTGAAAAGTTTCATTTAGTTGTAAAAATATGAAGAAAGAAAACAATTGTCAGCAGGATAGAATAAGGTGGAGCTGCGCTAATAGTATCATAGGCAGTTGGACAGGAAAGGATTTTGAGACCATCTAGTTTAAACCCTTTGTTTTCCAAAGAGCCAACTGAGCAGGCTTGTAATTACATTTTGAAAATGACTCAAACCCGGTGGCTTTTTACACTGAACTTGGACTTTTCCCATGAGTATGCTGCTGTTTCAAATCTGAGCACTGAATTTCTGTTTTTGAGCTCTCTCAGTACATAAGAAGCATTGCAAGTAAAATTATGTCCCATTGTCCTCTACCTCTCTTTCCAGTGCCTGTTTTCTCCAACCTCACTACCTTTCTCATCCCAAGAGTTTTGAAAAAAAAGCTAGATGTTAATGTAATAGTTGGTGATAGTCATGAGCCATTTCAGTTCTGTTCAAAAATATTTGCTGAAAATTTAGGTAGTGTTGTGTGCATTAAGATTTGTGGGAAGGCGAAGATTAAATGGAGAGAATTACAGCTCCTTAAACTGACAGAGAGTCAGTCAGACCAAGTAGTGGCTACAGGGAATAATAATTAAATAATTTTGCAGTTATTTGATACAGTTCAAAGTCTAGTTTCTTTAAATTTAATGAGAGATTCATGAAGTCCTTTGAGACATAAAGGACAGAACATCTAATAGTGGAATATCATAGTATTAAGTGAGTTATTCCAGAAGAGACATTGTCTTTGGTGCTACATGGATCATATTGACAAGGTACTTACTACAAATACTACCAACCGAAAGGTCTGACTCCATGCCAATTTATTTAGAGTTTATCACCACCACCAGTGAGTAAGTTTCTGGAGAATAGGAACCCTTTCCTTGTTCATCATTGCAGACTTCTGTGCCAAAAACTGACACAATTCAAATAAGTCTTTACTAAATGTAGGACTTGACTATTGGCCTTTGATTACGTTCTCCACAGAGGAGACTATCCACTAAGACTTTGAGATAGAATCGTTTACTTGTAATCCCAGCAAAATCATCTGAGGAGAAGTAGAATTGTCAAAGGAAGATGTAATGGGCTCTTTGGTAGAAGACCTCAATAGATATTTACTAAATGTTTATTGTATGTAAACCACTGCGGAAGACATAATGATGAAGATGTGTCTGTAACATAATAGATGTATTCATAGTCATGTTCACAATTTCATTTCAGGTCCTGTTCTGAGCTCTCATCCTTGAAACAGGCCTTATAGAAGAGTAAATGGGACATAGTAACAATGTAACAGAATTTGTCCTCCTGGGCCTCACTCGGGATCCTGAGGGGCAAAAAGCATTGTTTGTCATGTTTTTACTCATCTACATTGTGACAATGGTGGGCAACCTGCTCATTGTGGTGACTGTTTTTGCCAGCCCCTCTCTGGCTTCCCCAATGTACTACTTCCTTGTCTATCTATCACTCATGGATGCGGTTTATTCTACTGTTATTTCACCCAAATTGATTATGGACTTACTTTGTGATAAAAAGACAATTTCCTTCCCTGCTTGCATGGGACAGTTATTTCTAGAACACTTATTTGGAGGTACTGAGGTCTTCATTCTGGTGGCAATGGCCTATGATCGCTATGTGGCCATCTGTAAGCCACTGCACTACTTGACCATCATGAATCAACAGGTTTGCATCCTGCTGGTAGTGGTGGCCTGGGTTGGAGGTTTTGTCCACTCTATGATTCAACTTCTCTTTGTGTACAACCTCCCATTTTGTGGACCCAATGTCATTGATCACTTCATGTGTGACATGTATCCATTATTGGAACTTGCCTGCACTGACACTTACGTTGTAGGCCTCACTGTGGTTGCCAATGGTGGAGCAATTTGTATGGTCATCTTTATCTTTCTACTAATCTCCTGTGGAGTCATTCTGAATTCCCTTAAAGCTCACAGTCAGGAAAGGAGGCGCAAAGCCCTGTCTACCTGCAGTTCCCACATCACAGTGGTTGTCCTCTTTTTTGTTCCCTGTATTTTCATGTATGTTAGACCTGTTTCCAACTTTCCCATTGATAAATCCATAACTGTGGTTTGTACAGTTATCACTCCCATGTTGAATCCTTTAATATACACCCTGAGAAATTCAGAGATGAAAAATGCCATGGAAAAACTCTGGTTTACAATGTTAACCTTAGGTAGAATAAAAGTGTGTCACCCACACTGAACACATTTGTTACTAGTTCTGAAGCAACAAACAGGAAGTAAATTCTGACAATGGATGGCAGTGAATTCAATGGATTCTTTAGGGATGCTTTTCTTTGTTTATATAAGAGCATTTGTTGCCCTTTGAGGTTACAACTAATAGAGAAATTCTAGAGGAGGAATAAAAGGCACAGATGTTTGTCCTATCACAAGGAAAAATTTAAAAAAGAAACTAATTTCATCTTATAACTTTATTTTTCGCAGTTTTTATTCAAATGGGACTTTAAAAGAAAGAGTTATTTCTTTTCTAAAGTGAAAAACAAGGAACCTTTGAAAGTTTACTGTCCCTCAAAGCAATGAGAAAGTATTTGGCTGATACTTAGAACAAATTTCTGTGGGTGACATTCATGACTATGAGCCCATTGCTTTGCTGTGATATGGGCTTTTGGTTAGAGGCAATGTTGGATGGGATGTAATGGCAATGAATAAAAAGAGTTTTGTGAATCCATGTACAGGGGTGCTATAAACAGAATGTATCTATTCTTTTTTTTTTTTTTTGAGGAAGATTAGCCCTGAGCTATCATCTCCTGCCAATCCTCCTCTTTTTGCTGAGGAAGACTGGCCCTGAGCTAACATCCGTGCCCATCTTCCTTCACTTTATATGTGGGACGCCTACCACAGCATGGCTTGCCAAGTGGTGCCATGTCTGCACCCGGCATCCAAACTGGCGAACCCTGGGCCGCCGAAGCGGAACTTGTGAACTTAACCGCTGCGCCACCAGGCCGGCCCCAGAATGTATCTATTCTTGTGAAGACAAATCAGTGCCTCTTTCATGATAAACTGGGTCTGATACAATAAACCTGACGTCAGATACCTGATTGGTGCTTTATCGAGTTCTCTGCAATGGCCTTTATTCATTGATGATATGTTGAGCATTATGCTGCAGAGGTTGGTGAGGACAAATATATATTATTAAGCCCATGCATGATATTAGTCTGCCATTAGATCCAATTTTTACATTGACCCATTTAGCAAGCTGTGAGAGCTTGGAAAGAACTTGACTTTTATTCACAGATGGGTCATCCTGTCACCTTGCTCATCAAGAGTCTTCTCCTTGATGTCTGGTGGGCATTTATGTGGAACAAATATTTTTACTGATCATGCTAATTCTAAGAGGTCCATGCACTGCCTTATTATCTCCCATTCCCTTTTGTCATCTTGCTTTTAATCTTTTTCTTTCTAAGTTCTTGACCAGCTAGCCAAACCATTAATGGGGTAGGTCTATGCCTCAGATTATCTCTGTGCAAAGTTTGTTACCAGATATGCCTCCTGAAAAAACGCCTACTGGGACTATTTCCTTTCACTGCTCCCTTTCATGACCACCCTTGTAGGACTGTATACAATAATAATATTTTTCCTGAAGTCAGTGCACTGTGTAAACCCACACATATAAGTGATTTTTTCCCTTTAAAAAAAATCTAACTCTCTTAGGTGAACTTTTATGATCCTCTAGGTGTGAATGAGAGAGAAATGATGAAGCAAAAGGAGCAGTTAATTAGGAATGCTAAAAATAGATTATGAAGTGTTAATCTTTTAAAAAAACTATTTTTAAAGCAGTTTTAATTTCACAGCAAAATTGAGTAGAATATATAGATTTCCCATATATCCCCTGTCCTAAAATAAGCACGACCTCCTCCATTATTGACATCCTACAGCACAGTGGTTTATTTGTTAGATTTGATGGATCTACACTGAAACATATTTATTGTCCAAAGTACATAGTTTGCCTTAGGATTCACCCTTGATATTGTACTTTATATAGGTTTGAAAAAATGCACAGTGACATGAATCCACCATTGTACTATTATACAGACTAGTTTAACTTCCCTAAAAACCTTCTGTACTCTACCTGTTCATTCCTCCCTCCTGATTAACCCATAATAAACACTGATCCTTCTACTGTCTCTACTGCTTTGCCTTTTCCAAAATGTCATATAGTTGGCATCATACAGAATGTAGTCTTTTTGGATTGACTTCTTTCACTAAGTAATATACATGTAAGTTTCCTCCATGTCTTGTCATTTCTCTTTAGTGTTGAATAATATTCCCTTGTCTGGATATACCACAGTTTATTTATCCATTCTTCTACTGAAGGACAGCTTGGTTGTTTTGACAATAACGGTGGGGTTTGGAAATTATGAGTAAAGCTACTATAAACATCCATGTAAGACTTCTTTGTGAATGAAAGTTTTCAACTTCTTTGAATAAATACGAAAGAACATGATTTCAGGATCATTTGGTAAGAGTATGTTTCGTTTTGTAGGAGACTGCCAAAATGTCTTCCAAAGTGGCTTTAGCATTTTGAATTCCTACCAGCAACGAATGAAGAGTTCTTGTTGCTCTATATTCTTGCCAGCATTTGATGTTGCCAGTGTTTTGTATTTTAGCCATTCTAATAGCTGTGTAGTGGTATCTCATTGTTAATTTAATTTGAAATTCCCTAATGATGAATGATCTTGAGCATCTTTTCAACTTACCGTCTATATACCTTCTTTGGTAGGTTGTCTGCTAAGGCTTTTTCTCATTTTTTGATAAGGTTATTTGTTTTCTCTTTATTGAGTTTTAAGAGTTCTTTGTATATTTTGGATAACAGTCCTTTATTATATCTTGCAAATATTTCTTGCAGTAGTAGCTTTTCTTTTCAATCTCTTGCATTGACTTTCATAAAGCACAAGTTTTTAATTTTAATAAAGTCCAGTTTATCAATATTTTCTTTCATGTATCCCACCCTTGGTATTGTAACTAAGTCATCACCATTCTCAAGATCATCTAGATTTTCTCTTATGTTTTCTTCTAAGGGTTTTATAGTTTTGGATTTTACATTTAGATTCATGATCCATTTTGAGTTAATTTTTCTGAAAAATATAAGGTCTGTGTCTAGATTTATTTTATGCATGTGTGTGTCTGGTTGTTCCATACCATTTGTTCCTTTGTCGAAGATCAGATGACTATATTTATATTGGTCTATTTCTGGGCTCTCTGTTCCATTCCATGGATCTATTAGTATATATTTTTTTTTGTCCCGACTACACTGTCTTTTTTTCTGTAGCTTTATAGTAAATTTTCAAGTCAGGTAGTATTAATCATGTGATTTTTCTTCCTTAGCCTGTTGATGAGACGGAGTACATCAGTTTATTTCAAAGTTGGCCAGCCTTGCATACCTGGGATGAATCCCACTTGGTCAAGATGTATAAGTGTTTTTATACATTGTTGGTTTTGATTTACTAGTTTTCTTGAGGATTTTTGCATCTATGTTCATGAGAGTCACTGGTCTGTAGTTTTATTCTTATAATATTGTTGTCTGGCTAAGGTATCAGAGCAATGCTAAACTCATAGAATAATGATCTTAGAAGACTAGTTGATTTTTCACTTTGTTCAACTTTTTACTTGTTGTTAGGATAGTCAGCTTTTAAGATACTTATGTGCCAGACCAACTAATACTGGAATTTGGGTCCATGCTCAAGTAAATTACTTGTGCCTTCTACACCTGTTTGGGCCCAGATATATATATATATATATATATATATATATATATATATATATAATTATTATTACATATATTATAATATATAATATATATTATATATTATATATGTTATATATAATTATGTACATATAATTTCTATTTTAAAGTAGCAAGCAGTTTTATTTATGTGTTTTTACAATTTGTTGGCTAAAATAACATCTCCTTAACAATGGACATTTTGTTCTCATTGTCTCTTGGAATCCCATGGTTGGATTTTGTCTATATCAAAGCCTGTTAGCAAGCCTTGAATTACTTTGTCAAAGGAGAATTTTTGACAAAAGAAGAGTATACTGAGTCATTAAAAATCCTAAATGTCTGTACTGTGTCTCCTTTTGAGGCTTACCAGATACCCATATTATATCACTTTATTGCATGTAAATTTTCCAGTATGATTCATCTGCATGGTCATAAGGCCCATGTGTCAGGGCAACTTTTAGTACAACCAGTACCTTCTGCAGAGTCTTCTGCTGCTCTGAACTAACTCAAAATTTTCAACCTTTTAGGCAACTCTATAAACAAAGGCACATATCTAATACGTTATACACTGTTTTCCAAATCTGAAAAGTCAAGGGAGTCACTCCCAGAATGGTAGACTAAGGGTCTATGAAAATTCATTCCTTCATAAAGACAATGAAAATACTGGTAAAAATCATCAAAATAAACCTTTTTTGAGATCTCAGAGACCTGTGGGACAACCCCAAGCATATCAACATATACATATGATTGTCCAAAAATAAGAGGAGACAGAGATATGCATAAAAGAATTCAACATCTTAAAGCAAAAAATTCAGTGGTTCCTAATGTGTTTATAAAAGGTGTTTAGTGTGTTACTACGGTCTAGTTCCAGAACCTTTTCTTCATTCCAAAAAGCAACCCAGGTCAGAGGATGCTGGGAAAACGGTGGAGTAGGATGCACCAGAAATCCGCCTCCCCACCTGGACGATAATTTCACTGGCAGAATCTGTCTGATATAACATATTCTGGAACTCTGGAGTCTATTGAAGGCTTACGGCTTCCAGGGCAAAGCTTGGATGGTAGATTGCAGTTAATTTCGGTCAATTTCAGCTCTTGGCAGAGTAGCAGCTCCTCATCCTCTCCCTCCTCAGCCCCGTGGCAGGCGGCTGTGCCTGTGTTCCTGGAGCAGCCTGCACACAGCTTTTGGGAGCCAGAGTGGGCTAAAATGACCCCACCCTCCAAGTATCAGAATCTGTGCTCTGATCCCTGATTACTATTTCTGATCAGCCAAATTATTAGTATTATCAGTATTGTTATTATTATTATTAGTTCAGGCAAAGAGGTGGTGGCCCTTGTTGCTGCCCCTCATCCCATTGTTACAAGTGCCTCTTTCTCTGGTTGAAGTGAGTTCCAGGATGTTTAAAGGGGAGTGATACCTTTTTCTCTCCGTTTTTCTTTTTTCCTTTTAGGAGCCAGATATCAAAGAATAGGACATT